ACTGGGGGAAACAGAAACTCCATTCTTGGAGGGCACACACGAAGTACAGTGTGCATCGGGACCCAGCGGAAGGAGCAGTGACCCCATAGGAGACTGAACCAGACCTACCTGCTAGTGTCGGAGTGTCTCCCGCAGAGGCGGGGGGTGGCTGTGGCTCACTGTGAGGACAAGGACACTGGCAGCAGAAGTTCTGGGAAGTACTCCTTGGCGTGAGCCCTCCCAGAGTCCGCCATTAGCCCCACCAAAGAGCCCGGATAGGCTCCAGTGTTGGGTCACCTCAAGCCAAACAATCAACAGGGAGGGAACTCAGCCCCACCCATCAGCAGACAAGCAGATTAAAGTTTTACTGAGCTCTGCCCACCAGAGCAACAGCCAGCTCTACCCACCACCAGTCCCTCCCATCAAGAAACTTGCACAAGCCTCTTAAATAGCGTCATCCACCAGAAGGCAGACAGCAGAAGCGAGAAGAACTACAGTCCTGCAGCCTGTGGAACAGAAACCACATTCACAGAAAGATAGACAACATGAAAAGGCAGAGAGCTATGCACCAGATGAAGGAACAAGATAAAACACAAGAAAAGCAATGAAATGAAGTGGAGATAGGCAACCTTCCAGAAAAAGATTTCAGAATAATGATAGTGAAGATGATCCAGGACCTCAGAAAAAGAATGGAGGAAAAGATCAAGAAGATGCAGGAAATGTTTAACAAAGACATAGAAGAATTAAAGAACAAACAAACAGAGATGAACACTACAGTAACTGAAATGAAAAATACACTAGAAGGAATCAATAGCAGAATAACTGAGGCAGAAGAACGGATAAGTGACCTGGAAGACGGAATGGTGGAATTCACTGCTGCAGAACAGAATAAAGGAAAAAGAATGAAAAGAAATGAAGACACCCTAAGAGACCTCTGGGACAACAATAATTGCAGCAACATTTGCATTATAGGGATCCCAGAAGGAGAAGAGAGAGAGAAAGGACCTGAGAAAATATTTGAAGAGATTATAGTCAAAAACTTCCCTAACATGGGAAAGGAAATGGCCACCCAAGTGCAGGAAGCGCAGACAGTCCCATACAGGATAGACCCAAGGAGAAACATGCTGAGACACATAGTAATCAAGTTGGCAAAAATTAAAGACAAAGAAAAATTATTGAAAGCAGCAAGGGAAAAATGACAAATAACATACAAGAGAACTCCCATAAGATTTACAGCTGATTTCTTAGCAGAAACTCTACAGGCCAGAAGGGAGTGACATGACATATTTAAAGTGATGAAAGGGAAGAACCTACAACCAAGACTACTCTACCCAGCAAGGATCTCATTCAGATCCGATGGAGAAATCAAAAGCTTCACAGACAAGCAAAAGCTAAGAGAATTCAGCACCACCAAACCAGCTCTACAACAAATGCTAAAGGAACTTCTCTAAGTGGTAAACACAAGAGAATTAAAGGACCTACAGTAACAAACCCAAAACAATTAAGAAAATGGTAATAGGAACATACACATCGATAATTACCTTAAATGTGAATGGATTAAATGCTCCAACCAAAAGACAAAGGCTCACTGAATGGATACAAAAACAAGACCCATATATATGCTGTCCACAAGAGACCCACTTCAGACCTAGGGACACATACAAACTGAAAGTGAGGGGATGAAAAAGATATTTCATGCAAATGGAAATCAAAAGAAAGCTGGAGTAGCCATATGCATATCAGATAAAATAGACTTTAAAATAAAGAATGTTACAAGAGACAAGGAAGGACACTACATAATGATCAAGGGATCAATCCAAGAAGATACAACAATTATATATGCACCCAACATAGGATCACCTCAATACATAAGGCAACTGCTAACAGTTATAAAAGAGGAAATCGACACTAACACAATAATAGTGGGGGACTTTAACACCCTACTTACACCAATGGACAGATCATCCAAACAGAAAATTAATAAGGAAACACAAGCTTTAAATGACACAATAGACCAGATAGATTTAATTGATATTTATAGGACATTCCATCCAAAAACAGCAGATTACACTTTCTTCTCAAGTGCACATGGAACATTCTCCAGGATAGATCACATCTTGGGTCACAAATCAAGCCTCAGTAAATTTAAGAATATTGAAATCATATCAAGCATTGTTTCTGACCACAGTGCTATGAGATTAGAAATGAATTACAGAGAAAAAAACGTAAAAAACACAAACACATGGAGGCTAAACAATATGTTACTAAATAACCAAGAGATCAATGAAGAAATCAAAGAGGAAATCAAAAAATACCTAGAGACAAATGACAATGAAAACACGATGATCCAAAACCTATGGGATGCAGCAAAAGCAGTTCTAAGAGGGAAGTTTATAGCAATACAATCCTACCTCAAGAAACAACAAACATCTCAATTAAACAATCTAAACTTCCACCTAAAAGAACTAGAGAAAGAAGAACAAACAAAACCCAAAGTTAGTAGAAGGAAAGAAATCATGAGATCAGAGCAGGAATAAATGAAATAGAAGCAAAGAAAACAATAGCAAAGATCAATAAAACTAAAAGTTGTTTCTTTGAGAAAATAAACAAAATTGATAAACCATTAGCCAGACTCATCAAGAAAAAGAGGGAGAGGACTCAAATCAATAAAATTAGAAATGAAAAAGGGGAAGTTACAACAGACACTGCAGAAATACAAAGCATCCTAGGAGACTACTACAAGCAACTCTACATCAGTAAAATGGACAACCTGGAAGAAATGGACAAATTCTTAGAAAGGTATCACCTTCCCAGACTGAACCAGGAAGAAATAGAAAATATGAACAGACTAATCGCAAGTAATGAAATTGAAACTGTGATTAAAAATCTTCCAACAAAGTACAGGAGCACATGGCTTCACAGGTGCATTCTATCAAACATTTGGAGAAGAGCTAACACCCATCCTTCTCAAACTCTTCCAAAAAATGGCAGAGGAAGGAACAATACCAAACTCATTCTATGAGGCCATCATCACCCTGATACCAAAACCAGACAAAGATACTACAAAAAAAGAAATTTACAGACCAATATCACTCATGAATATACATGCAAAAACCCTCAACAAAATACTCGCAAACAGAATCCAACAACACATTAAAAGGATCATACACCATGATCAAGTGGGATTTATCCCAGGGATGCAAGGATTCTTTGATATATGCAAATCAATCAATGTGATACACCATATTAACAAACTGAAGAAGAAAAATCGTAAGATCATCTCAATAGATGCAGAAAAAGCTTTTGACAAAATCCAACACCCATTTATGATAAAAACTCTCCAGAAAGCTGGCATAGAGGGAACCTACCTCAACATAATAAAGGCCACAGCAAACAGCATTCTCAATGGTGAAAAACTGAAAGCATTTCCTCTAAGGTCAGGAGCTAGACAAGGATGTCCACTCTCACCACTATTATTCAACATAGTTTTGGAAGTCCTAGCCACAGCAGTCAGAGAAGGAAAAGAAATAAAAAGGAATCCAAATTGGAAGAGAGAAAGTAAAACTGTCACTGTTTGAAGAATGACATGATGCTATACATAGAGAATCCTAAAGATGCCACCAGAAAACTACTAGAGCTAAGCAATGAATTTGGTAAAGTTGCAGGATACAAAGTTAATGCACAGAAATCTCTTGCATTCCTATACACTAATGATGAAAAATCTGAAAGAGAAATTAAGGAAACACTCCCATTTACCACTGCAACAAAAAGAATAAAATACCTAGGAATAAACCTACCTAAGGAGGTAAAAGACCTGTACTCAGAAACCTATAAGACACTGATAAAGAAATTAAAGATGAAACAAACAGATGGAGAGATATGCCATGTTCTTGGATTGGAAGAATCAGTATTATGAAAATGACTACTACCCAAAGAAATATACAGATTCAATGCAATCCCTATCAAATTACCAATGGCATTTTTTTTAACAGAACTAGAACAAAAAATCTTAAAATTCTTATGGAGACACAAAAGACCCCAAATAGCCAAAGCAATCTTGAGGGAAAAAAACAGAGCTGGAGATATCAGGTACTCAGACTTCAGACTATACTACAAAGCTACAGCAATCAAGACAACAGGGTACTGGCACAAAAACAGAAATACAGATCAATGGAACAGGATAGAAAGCCCAGAGGTAAACCCATGCACCTATGGTCAACTAATCTATGACAAATGAGGCAAGGATATACAATGGAGAAAAGACAGTCTCCTCAATAAGTGGTGCTGGGAGAACTGGACAGCTTCATGTAAAAGAATGAAATTAGAACACTCCCTAATACCATACACAAAAATAAACTCAAAATGGATTAGAGACCTAAATGTAAGACTGGACACTATAAAACTCTTAGAGGAAAACATAGGCAGAACACTCTTTGACATAAATCACAGCAAGATCTTTTTTGATCCACCTCCTAGAGTAATGAAAACAAAAACAAAAAAAAACAAATGGGATGTAATGAAACTTAAAAGTTTTTGCACAGCAAAGGAAACTACAAACAAGACGTAAAAGACAATCCTCAGAATGGAAGAAAATATTTGCAAACAAATCAATGGACAAAGGATTCATCTCCAAAACATATAAACAGCTCATGCAGCTCAATATTAAAAAAACAAACCACCCAATCCAAAAATGGGCAGAAGACCTAAATAAACATTTCTTCAAAGAAGACATACAGATGGCCAAGAGGCACATGAAAAACTGCTCAACACCACTAATCATTAGAGAAATGCAAATGAAAACTACAGTGGGGTATCACCTCACATCAGTTACAATGGGCATCATCAGAAAATCTACAAACAACAAATGCTGGACAGGGTGTGGAGAAAAGGGAACCCTCTTGCACTGTTGGTGGGAATGTAAACTGATACAGCCACTATGGAGAACAGTATGGAGGTTCCTTAAAAACTAAAAATAGAATTACCATATGACCCAGCAATCCCACTACTGGGCATATACCCAGAGAAAACCATAATTCAAAAAGACACATGCACCCCAATATTCATTGCAGCACTATTTACAATAGCCAGGACATGGAAGCAACCTAAGTGCCCATCCTCAGATGAATGGATAAAGAAGATGTGGCACATCTATACAATGGAATATTACTCAGCCATAAAAAGGAATGAAATCGAGTCATTTGTAGAGATGTGGATGGATCTAGAGACTGTCACACAGAGTGAAGTAAGTCAGAAAGAGAAAAACAAATATCGTATATTAACGCTTATACATGGAACCTAGAAAAATGGTACAGATGAACCAGTCTGCAGGGCAGAAATTGAGACACAGATGCAGAGAACAAACGTATGGACACCAAGGGGGGAAAGTGGCAGGGTGGGGTGGTGGTGTGATGAATTGGGAGATTGGGATTGATGTGTATACACTAATATGTATAAAATGGATGACTAATAAGAACCTGCTATATAAAAAAATAAATAAAATAAAATTCAAAAAAATGTATCATGTAGAAATCCTACTTGGCATAGTATGCCACAATAAAGCAAAAACATGTACTTACACAGATGAAAAAAATAAAAAAAGAAAAGGATAAAACCTGAGGCTCGGGGAAAGTTACCCCAGGTCGTACACAGTGAGGAGAATATAAGACTGAAAACCAGACTGTCTGAACCCAAGGTGTGAACTCACAGCCACTACATTCCATAATCTATGAGCACGTTCTTTTTTCTTTTTTACTCGAGAGAATTATCTTTGTCACTTTGATCTACCCAATAGCAAAATGCAATTCTAAACAACTGTGTCCATGTGTGTCTTTTTATCCATCCTTAGACCCTATCTTTTCTTTGGCATTCTTATCTGGGAAACCTCCTTAGACACAAATGTTCTTTATATTTGATAGGAAGCAAAATGTAAGAGTGACTCGAAGCTGTTCGAAGTGACACCGTGAGCTTCTGCCCAGGGCGTGCAGAGACTCGTCGCTTCCTTTTCCTCTAGTACAGAACAGGGTCCCATGAACTCTGATCCAGCCAGAAACCAAGTCATTTCTAGCATTCTGTAGCAGAGGGCTGTTAGGGCACTCTTTGTTATGTGACCTGTTTCTCCCACCCAGGACACCAGACCCAACACTCTAATCTCCTGTGTGTGTGTGTGTGTGTGTGTATCTGGGCACAACAGCGCTCTAGTGGAAGGCTCATATAAAGACAACTTGAGGGAAAACCAGAGGACAAACCTACTCCGGTGTGAAGGAACGTCTACCCAGAAAGGGCAGTGGATGGAAGCAGCAGACCCCCCTCCCAAGCTCTGTGGACATGGCCCTTGGATCACAGGGCGTGTGCTCCTGTCACCCAGAGGCAAGCAGACACCATGCAAAGGCAAGCTCCTTCCTTCACTTCACTGAAAAGCAGAATCAAAAGTTTTGCCCCAACCAGCAAATGTAAAATGTGTTTTGAGGCCCATGGCTCTGGGGAGCTGCCACGTGAAATGCGTTACCAAGGCTCAGAGTTGGGGTCGGGACCCACTGAGCGTCTCTGCAGCAGAGCACAGGCTGCCAGGAGGCCACTGGTCCGGAGGACAGGGTCCAGAGGCATCGTGTGTTCCTGGGTCGCGCAAACCTCACCTCAGTGCCTGGGAAGCTGACAGCAGAAGAAGGGCTCAGATCAGCTCTGGGAACGCCAGAGTTTTCTGGAAAACCCGCTGAGCTCGGCGTGCATGCAGGTATTTCAGCGCTCCTCCGGCTCTAATGAGAACTCCTATTCTCAGCCTGGGTTCACCCGAACAATGTCAAGTCAAACCACAAGAAAATCTGTTATCGCTCAAATTGGTACTTTTCATACATACTTTTCATACAACTGAAATATTACATAAAGTCATGAACTGTTAGTTGTAAAAGTAGAAATTGGACGCAGACTCCGATTCCCTTGCTACCTTGGTCTCACCTTCCAGGGGATGTGAAGCTCGGGTCACAGCTGCATTCTGAGGGTGTGTGCCTTGTGATCAAAGCCTTTGCCAGTGGAAGAAGTACTCATGCGCCCAATCCACAGACCACTCTCGGTGCACCTCCCCGTGTCCTCGTTCACACCAACGCTGTGAAAAGTTATGTGTTTGAATGATGTTTTAAAGTGCTCTGTGCAATTAAGTTCTAAAGCAAGGGAGCTGGTTTTCCTTCAGTGTATATATGAAACTCCCAATAAATTTAAGGCCTCTGGGTACGTTTGGGGGAGGGGGAGGATGAAAAAGAGGAAAGTTTTTGAAAGGAACACTTCAAAAAGGTAAATCTGAGGTGTTTTCCCTCCTTATAAGATTTTAAAATGTTTTTATAGTTGGAAAAAGTCTACAAATCAAAAAATACATACTGGAAAAAAATGCATACCGATTCCATAATCACTTGTACCCAGTTCGCACCTCACCTTCCTAAGGAAAGTACTCCTTTTAAGTAATGATCGCAAAGTATCACATACCACCTTCCCCTTGCCATGTGTGTTAGTGATTTGAAAACATGCTGCTCTTTACTTTCGGTTAGCTGCCCCTCAGATGCAGGATTTTGCACTAAGTTTCCATTATGTGGCTGTTTATAGTCATTTTAAAGCGTTCCCCTGGGTGCCCTAGTTTGCCTGTGAAGCTCTTAAGAAAAACATATATTCCTGAGCCTAATTCAAAACCAAGACACATACACAGTACATGTTGTTCAGATAATGGTTTGGGAAAGTCGCACATCCTTACTCAATTTGTAAAGCAGCATTAGCTACACAGCCTCTGGATGTATTAACAATACAACAAGTAGCATTCATTAACGGCAGAATGAAGTTCAGGGAAAATCAGAGATCAGCATCACCCAGAGAGGGTCCTAGCAATGCCTCTCAAGGATCAAGCCCTTCACACCTTTATCAGGCAGAGAATGTTACACTTCCAACTCTGCACCCTTGATTGGGAATGTTCCTGGGTAGGGAAAATGGCCGGAGCAGGATAAGATTAACCAACAAAGAAAAAATCCCAGTGCCTGGCCCATAGTAAGCTTGGTAGCTAATGAAACTATTTCACGCTGTACAAACATCAGGTAGCCTGTGGCCTGAGGCCAGTGAGTCACTGAAGCTATGTTTAAGGGGGCAGCTGTCACCTCTACCACACGTACCTTTCTGAGCCATGCTTTTCTCCTTTCATCTATTTTTAAAGCTTTCACCCTTGTCTACATTTTAGTCATTTAAAACACTGGACTGCTGGGCTCCCCTGATCAAGTTTTTAGGATAAACATTCACTCACCACCATACTGGATATGGAAGGAAACCTCATGGTGAGAGCAAGAAACTGAGGCAAAATTAATTCCCCAAAGAGTAGTAGTCCTTTTGATGCACTCAGGAGTAGAAGTTCGGTAACAGACAAAGTCATTTATGCAGTTGGGTCATAAAAGGTACTGGCATTGACTGAACGCTGTGTTCTAACATAGCGTGTGTGACGGCACAGGGCATATGCCCTCCCAGCAGCCCTGTCCAGTAGACTCCCGCGGCCGCCAGCACGCCACAGGCTCTGTCACAGACACAGGTGCCAACAGCATGCCAGACATTTCACACTCACTGTTCACTGGTTTATGTAATTTGAAATTATGTAACTGGCATCAAGGGCTTGGGAATAAATGCACCTGACTCCTGGAAAGCTGGAGAGGGAACCACAGAACAATGCCCAGGTCTGAGGGTGAGCATGGGAAAAACACCGGCCCGTTGGGCTGCTTTCAGCCAATGGGCTGCTTTCTAAGGGAGCCGTGCCAGGCAGCGGTGGCAGCGGCTGAGGCCAAGTGAAGCCTGGACCATTGGTACCCACGGTGTCAACCAGAGACAAGGCAGGGCCTGGAGCAAGTGCTGACAGGGGCAGAAGGACCACAGGGCCAAAATGCCTGCTTCCTCATTCTCAAACGAACCAGGGCTGGGCTCCGAAGAATAAATGCCAGAAGCAGACTTTGGAACTGGTGAAGAAATCACCGTGACCATGGATGGCGATTACGGAGCACCTGCTTTGTCCTGGGCCCTTGGTTTATGGCATTTGAGCGCGTAACGTGGATGAAGCCAAGCCCCTCACGGTCCATTCGTGACTGGGACATGCAGTCCGAGACACACAAGACTGGCCGTCAAGGAGCAATCGAAAGTAATTGTTATCCTGGTTTCCCTCTCTCTCGAAGCTAGAGAGCACAGTCACGCTCTGTTAAGAGCACTGTTAAGCTCTCTAAAATCTCCTACCTTTGTTCCACTCAGTATCTCTCTCTCTGAAGTTGCTCCCGAATAAGCCCCTACTCCAAGCTCTCCAAACCCTCTCTTCAACACCGGGTGGATCCTCTGCCCTCTCTGCCTTTCCCCTTTCCTTCCCATCTGTTGTTGCTTCTCTCCACAAGGAATCCTCTGCCCTTTCTGCTGTAAAGTCTCCCTGCCTGTGCTTCTCCAGTTTCCCCCTCACGCATGGCCTCAGGGAACAATCAGACGGAACTGGAAGAGGGGAGGGGGGGATACAAAGATCACAAGACAGAGAGACCGCAAGAGCCTGTGAACACAGGTGGTCGAGCACTTTTAAAGGTGTGTACTGTCTCATCCATCTTCACGATGACCCTCAGAGGTAGGTGATCCCATTAAACACATGAGAAGGCAGAGCTGAAAGGTTCCATAACTTACCAGTAAGTGGAGAAGTCGGGATACAAATCCAGGCAGCTGCAGCCTCAAAGCCCACGGCCTTGACGACTATTTGACACTGCCTTTTCTGCAGAGGAGCTGGACAGCGTAAGGAGCCGTCTAGTTCCTCACTCAGGTAGTTGGGGTTCACAGCTAGAGCTTCATTTCACTTCTCCCTGGATTTAAAAAACCAACAACAAAAGCTGCTGCAGGAGAGGCCCGAGACTAGAGCAGAGTGAGGCAGGCCGTCCCCGCGAGGCAAGCTTAGGTGCGTTCTCCGCACCGAGTCTCTGCCCCTGTTGTCCTCCAGCTTTCTGAATAGCATGTGCAGGGCAGTTGGACACTGGACCATTTCTACATCCCATTTGCTTGTAGAAATCAAGCTCTTAAGGTGGCATCAGGCCCCCTAATCCAGGGCCCAGAAACATCTACAGGTAACTGACATTCTTCATTATGATGACATGACTATAATTTTAAAAATTAATATAGTAATAAATATTGTCTGTTAAAGTGATTTAGACTGGTGGGAGAATGTTAATGCTATATTTTATAAGACGGATCAACGAGGGAACTCATGAACTCATATTAATCATCTATTGTACTTGGGAAAAGGAGGGAGAAAACCCTCAAGTGATTATATCATTTGCCGAGAAACTGATTGGAACGTTTGGGTTTGATAAAATAACTAATTTGAAGATTGGAAAGTAGAACGAAGGGGGAAACAGGCCCCTCTGAGAATAGAGGAGTATTTAGGCTTCCTCGACGTCAAGCCTGGGATGCTCTTAGTTAATGATTTAGTAATGATGCGTCAGCGTAAACGCCCCACGTTTACAGCAAGCGCTCCACACATGAAGATAACGGAAGGTTACAGTGATGAGGTGGGAGACCAAAATCTGTGAGAGCATGAAAAAAAAAGTGGTGGATGAACTTCTGTGCTAAATACACATTCAGAAGAGACAGTCTAAATTTCATATTGTCATATCTGCTTTAAAAGGTTTCATATAATAGTAAAGTGAGGCATAAACAAATAAGTAGATTGGTAAAAATACCAAACTGTAGATCAAGAGTTGAAAGCTGCAAGCTAGGAAAGGGGTTCAAGTGTGAGCTGCTATAAAAAGACTTTTAAGCTACGTGCTACAGTAGCCAAGGAGAGCTGGCTACTACTCTGTTCTTCCTTCCACTTTTCCACTATTTCCTCTTTCTGCAGAGAGAAAGAGACAGAGAATGAGAATATAAATTGTGTTCGTGTGTGTGTGTGTGTGTGTATAAAACTGTGTAACAATGTTATACTGACCTATATTCCCATGGCCACATCCCAGACTTTGTCAATTCTCAAGACAACCTTATCTATAAATCTTCAACTCCAAATAATCCATTCTCAGACTATAATGTCCTATTTTTCCACTTCTTCCTGTGCTTCATTCCCACTAACACTGTTTTCCTACCTCACTGAGGTCTCCCTTCCTAATTCTCCCAGATTATCAGTAGACTTCTGTTTTACTTCCCTTCCAGCCCAGCCCAGACTGCATGGCTGTTCAGATGAATTACAGTCCTATAATATATGTCCTCTGTCCTACATCCTACGCCTAGGTTTTGAATGATGCTGGAGAAAAACTCGCAATAACGCTCTTAAAAGATAAACGGAGGCATTTACAAGAGTCTGTTTGAGCAAACATTGATTCAAATCAGGCGGCACCAGATTGAAAATGGTTAGGAGGCTCCACCAACAGGAGCCAGGGGGCGGTTAGGAGGGCTCCACCAACAGGAGCCGGGGGGGGTGGTTAGGAGGGCTCCATCAACAGGAGCCGGGGGGGGTTTATAGAGAAAATGTTACTAAAAGTGGGGTCCGGCTGCTTGTCACTCAGAAGCCAATGAAGAGGCAACGTTGGTGGAAAGGAAAGTCTGCTTTATTTTGGATGCTGGTAACCGGATCGGGGGTGGGGGGAGGGGGGACCCCTGTCCAAGGGCCTACTCCCTCCCACACCCCCCTGACAATCAGGGGACAAGAGCTTTTATAGACGGAGAGAGGGGGCTCTGTGCAGAAACAGCACGGTCAGCTCTGACGGTCATCTTGACATTGGTCACGCAGTGGTCTGACCAGAGTCATCTTGATCGTTTAAGTACATTTAGTCTTTAGTTCCAGGGTCGGTTTGTTCCCATTTCTTGGAGGCCAGCTCTTGGAATTGTGGCAGCTTCTGTCATGGCTACAGTCAGGTCATCATGTGGTTAACTTCTCCCACCTGGTGGGGCTTCAGTACCTACAGGACAGCTCACAGGACATGGCTCAGAACAGCATCTATAGCCCTTGAAGAGGAACTAAAGGTCCTTGACTTTGCTTAATGACTAAACTATTTTTATTTAGTCTTGTTGGACTGTTTTCCTTTGTTTCTGCATTTTCTCCCTTCTCTGATTAGACTTATTCTTTGGCTAAAGTGTTTCCACAGACAAAAGGCAGGCTGAGAACATGGGGGGCAAGCACCATAGGGTCCTGCTCCGTTTCAAAGAGGTGGAAGCAAAGCAAGGAAGTGACTTGATTGGCCATAGCTTAAGTAGTTGCCTTATTTGGGAAAGCCTAGCTGGTGATTTGTGATTGGTTGTTTTTAAGTTGTATTTTCTCAGATTCAAGTGCATTGACTCTAGCTGAGGTTTTGCTTGGCTTATGAAGGCTACCAGGGCATTAGAACCACCTCACCTAATGGCCTCCTTGTTTAATTATGTTAACAATGCAAAACTCACACGGCGTGAGCTCCCCTAAAAGGCCCTGTTTCCTTGACTCAGAAGAGAGTAATTCTTTTTATTTATTTTTGGCTGCACTGGGTCTTCATTGCTGTGCGTGGGCTTTCTAGTTGCGGCGAGCGGGGGCTACTCTTCGTTGCGGTGCGCGGGCTTCTCATCACAGTGGCTTCTCTTGTTGCAGAGCATGGGCTCTAGGCACGCCGGCTTCAGTAGTTGTTGCACACGGGCTCAGTAGTTGTGGTCCATGGGCTTAGTTGCTCCTGGACCAGGGTTTGAACGCATGTCTCCTGCATTGGCAGGCAGATTCTTAACCACTGCACCACCAGGGAAGTCCAAGAATGGAGATTTTAAATGGGCATTGAAAAGAACAAGGAAGTGACCTAATTAGAGAGAGACATATTTAGATTGCTGGGCAGTGAGAGGATCCAGTTGGGGCCGGATTTACGATGGGTTCATTTGCCTTGTTGCACACATATTGTCTCCAGCAGGGCTCAGTTAGAGGTGAGGGCACAGGGAAGACAGAGTAGGTTATGGTTTTAATGGATGGATGTCATAAGGAGGCTTAAGAAACCGGTGTAAGGCCAGCAGGTCCGGGGAAGGGCCCAGGGAGCCAGACGGAACCCCCGCCAAGGAGGCTGATGCAACCGACCGGTCTTCCCGCTTCCCGAGGGGCGGAACCAACGGCTCTGAGGCTGATGCAACCGCCACCTGACATTGCCACAACACCCGAAAGATTACCAAAAGAGGGGGCTGCTTCACACAGCAAGCACCTCCCCTGCGTCCACCCCGATAAATTTTGTTCGCGCCCGCACCCGGGCGCGACTTCTCTGGCCCCTTTCTCTCGGGCCAGTGAACCTCGCCTGGGAGCGTTCCCAAATAAAGCTCATTTAAGCTCTCCTCCGTTTTTGGTGCCGTTCCTTACATTTGGTGCCGAAACGCGGGAGGGGTACCCAGCCCCACAAATTACCGTGGGGCCACCCCTCCCCACCCCCAGGGGACGACTGGGGACCTCTGCTCACCCACCCGATCCGGCAGAAGCGGGGTAAGTCCCTCCTTCGTTCCCCTTGACCCCCGGGGGCCCTACCCACCGGACTCCCTGTCCTTAACCGCGGCCGCGTCAGGGACTCCTCCGTCCTCCCTCCGAGCCTCGGGCGATTGTGGAGACGTCCCAACCGCCTGACTGCTCTCCGATCCGCCGTGACCAGAGATTGAGACCAGAGACGTCTCTCTCTTTCTCTGTTCACCCGGGGACAGACCGGAGGTCATGGGGACTTCAGAATCCAAACCAGATCCTAAGGCACCCCTGGGGTGTCTCCTGGCCCACTTTACAAAACTCGGCTTTTCTCAAGATCTCCGCCGCAGGCGGCTCGTATTCTATTCCACCGAGGCCTGGCCACGGTACCCTCTAGACAATCAATCTAAATGGCTTCCTGAAGGGACTTTCGATTTCAACATGCTCCGCGATTTAGATAACTACTGCCGCAGGACGGGTAAATGGTCCGAGGTCCCCCACGTCCAGGCCTTCTGGTATTTACGCTCCCGCCCTTCCCTCTGCGTCGATTGTTCCACTTCCCAGATCCTTCTTGCCAAACAGACATCTCCTACATCCAAGCCCCTAATTTCCTTTGACGATGACCCCTCTCCACTCGCCGACCCACCCGAATCTCTCGCCTCTCCCCCCTCCAGAGCTCCTCTCCAACCCCCACCCCTACCCTGGACCCGCCCCCCCCCCCCCCAGCCCACCCCAACCCCCCCCACCGCTCCCCCCCTCCCCCCGGCAACCTCCCCCTTGGCCCCCCCCTTCCCCCGCTTCCTCCCCCTCTGCCTCTCTCTCTTCGCCCCTCTCCTCACCAGTCAGCTCACACACCCGCTCACACCACCACGACTCCCAGGACCCAGACCTTCTCTGTCCCTTAAGAGAGGTGGCCGGAGCGGAAGCATGAGTTAGGGTTCACGTTCCCTTTTCCTTCCAAGATCTCTCTCAAATAGAAAAGCGATTAGGCTCCTTTTCTGCCGACTCCTCCCTCTACATCAAAGAATTTCGCTACCTCTCTCAAGCTTACGATCTAACCTGGCACGACATCTTTGTGATCCTATCTTCCACTCTGACCCCCGACGAGAGGGAACGAATTCAAACTGCTGCCCGAAACCACGCAGATCAGGTCCACCTCACTGATAACTATGCCCGTCGGAGCCACTGCCGTGCCTGGCACCGATCCGGGCTGGAGTTATCAGGACGGCCAAGACGGTCACCGCAAACGCGATCTAATGATCCAATGCCTCTTGGCTGGTATGCAGGCTGCCTCCCACAAGATTGTCAACTTCGGAAAGCTAAAAGAGATAACCCAAGAGCCCAATGAAAATCCAGCCGTTTTTCTCACCCGCCTTACAGAGGCCCTAACTCTCTACACCTGCTTGGACCCTGACACCCCCGCAGGCGCAACGGGCTTGGCCACCCACTTTATCACCCAATCAGCCCCTGATATCA